TTATGAACGTGTATGACAGCGCAGTAAAAACAAGACCTAAAGGAAAGGCCTAAAGCAAATAGGAAAACAATCCTGGTGAAGAGCACGTACAAGCAAGAGCGGTGGAAATCAAAGCAGCCATGGACAATTTAGGTGAGCTGATAAAGCTTTTTTCTGCTAAGCTGGACAAGGATAATGAGAGCAAGAACATCATTTCGATGGAAGTTTCGCAAAAATTATCCCGGAGATCAACAGCGTGTTAAATGAGTAGGACAGTGGCTCGAAAACTTCGAACAAAATGCAGAAGCGAATGAACTTAATGAAAAACCAAAAAAAAGTGAATACTCGTAACAAGTTAAGTGGAACGGCAAAATTGTTGTTGGAATCGGTGATCATTTCGAACTTCAAAGGTTTACAAAGGGCCCTCTTTGATGAACTCGATGAAAAATTGAGTAGCGCTGAAGTACACAGAATGCTTGTGGGTCGTAAAAAAGGGAGAGCGAACATTTTCATGAATACGCATTGCCAATGAGAAAGGCCGCTAGACTATGTGTCAAGTGAACGACTATTCGGTACATTTTAGATGATATATTGTTGAATAGAGAACTAACGTTCCAATTCTATAGTGCAACAACACAAAAAGATCTACGAGAAAAGAATGAAATCTGAATTTAGCAAGTAGCGAACAACACGGCAAAACGATACACCCTGCGGGTTAGGGGCTTAAGAATTTACCCGTGGTAAGGCATGCCTGTCGTAAGAGGCGACTAAAATCCAATAGTTCCCGCGATAGTCGGGTCTTTATACCGGAACGATCCGGATTTTTATCCGGCCAAGGACTGTCACTCCCGCAATATTCCCCGAAAACCAATTCGGGGAATAATTTGCGGTTTCAACAACAACAACAACACGGCAAAACGATGAAAAGAGGTAAACAAAAGAGTATACGTGCACATAAAAAAAAATCAGACCAACGGAAGCAGCACTGCTTCAATTGTGAATCGCTAAGCCATACACGAGCCGAGTGAAAAGCGCAAACAAAATGTTTCAAATCTAACCGCTGCGAACATATGGCGAAAGACTGCGATAAATATGAAGAAAACAGGGGAATAAAAGTAAATACTAAAAAGAACAAGTAAAGATTATGACAATTAGCTTGTCTGGTTGATACAGGCGCAAACGTCAATTTAGTTCAAGAAAAAATTTACAGGACGATGTTTGGGTAGGTATATTTTAGGCCTGAAATCTATTTAAGATGAAGAAAAAAGTGGGGAAAGGCGTATGGTTCAAATATTTATGATTTAATTAACACATAAATAAAACTTATTTAATTTGAAGTGTACCGTCTTCTAGTTCAATGTAAATATTATTCTTTTTTGCTATAGCAACTGGCAAATGTAATTGGCCAAGGACGAAAAAAGTATACCAAACACAATTTCGACTTTGACTTTGACTTAACCTGTAACAGTGAGAATAGGCCTGATAGTGTGGTCAGCGAAATGAATGAGATGGATGCACCAGCGCAGTACAAGGCAAGGCAGTCATTCAACAAATTAGTAACGAATATAATCCATAATCCGGAGGCGTTGAGATTTTACCATACGTGGAAAATATCAGTTTTCGGCAGAAACCAACAAGGTTGTCGGCAATGAAACACGCTGTAATAGAGAAATAAGTCAACAAATAGATGGCACAAGGCGTAATTCGAAAATTAAGTTCAGATGTAGCAAGTAGAGTTGTACTTACGAAAAAGAAAGATGAGTCGTACAGAGTATGCATTGATTATCGCGTCCAGAACTCTTGCGTGCTAAAGGGTCGATGTCCGGTTCCTCTAACCGATGAGGTGCTTGAAAGAATGCAATGGTCAAAAGTGTTCACAGTAAGGGACCTTAAGAATGGGTATTTCAATGTGCCGGTTAAAAAGAGGATCAAAAAATACATAGTGTTCGTTACAAAGCGGGGTCTGTTCGAGTTCAACAAGGCTCCGTTCCGATTTTGTAACTCGACAGTTGTATTTGCACGATATGTTAAATATATCTTGAACTAATTGATAAGCGATGGAGTGTTGGAATTGTGCGTTGATGGCATTGTAGTTTTCGTTTAGTCGTCTGAAGGGTCGAAATTTGCTAATGGAGTTAAATTGAGCCCAACACCTTGGGCTTGCGTTCAAGTGGCAGAAATAAAAATTTGTTTAAAAACAACAATTGATTTTCTTGGACATACAATACACAACGGCAATATTTTGTCAAGACAAGACAAGCAGTAAAAAGCTTTCAATCCTTCCGGAGGATAACAGGCTATTTTCTTAAATTTACTATGGGGTACGTTACCATTGCCAGGCCTCCTACAAACCTGTTGAGAAAAGGGGTAGTATTCAATATTGGTCAAGCAGAAATGCAAGCGACTATGGAGTTAAAGGGATTATTAACTCGGCAGCCAGTTCTCAGAAAACCCAACTATACGTGGACGCGTCTAAACATGGGTTTAGTGGAACAGTAATGTAAAAGCTTGAAAGCAGCTGGTATTGGAGCGAGAAAACATCCCTAAGAGAAGGAAAAATGCATAGCTATATGCAAGAAGTAAAACCAGCGTATTTGGCGGTCAGTATTTGTTCGGAATAAATTTTGCGCTTATAACCGATTGTTCAGCATTCACAGCAAAGTCAAAAAAAAATACAAGTCATAAAATACATGCAGACTTGGATTGACATTTTCGGTAGCCCAGAATTACTAATAAGTGACAAGGGCTTAGCTGTTACTTCAAAAAGCTTCAAAGGTTTTTGTTCGCACAACAATGCTGAGCACATAGAAGTGACGACAAGGGTCCCAAGAGGAAATGGACAAAAAGAGCGTGTAAATCGAGTAATTTTGGCTATTTAAGCGAAGGTACTGCTTAGCCAACAAAGTGGTACAAATATATGGGTGAGGTGCAAAAGGCATTCAACGCTCATGTACATACCACAACTAAATACGCGCCGTTCGGAGCTTTGTTTGGTACTGGTATCTGACACTAGTTCAAGGCAGAGCAGGTCAGATTGCTGTATGACGAATTTATCAATTCACTGAACGATGAGCTCTACAATATGAGACAAGCAGAGCTGCAGGTCTCGTGGCAAGTAAGTATACCCAGTTCATTGTAGGGAACAAACTGGCTTAAAATTACATGGGGCTATACAAACTTGTTAAGGTAAAGTGCAACTGCGGATACGACGTTGTCAAAGCAGCAGACGTCCTAGGTCCAAATCGTACATCTACAAGCGGCGAATATATCAAGTTATGGAAGTTTTTCGAGGACAATGCAGACGATTGGTCATCTGGGACAGATGATGAGCACCACTAGTCAGTAAGAACGCTCGTATCAACCGATCCCGAAATTGTAAGTATGCCAACAGCCGGCATAATCAGCCGTATAGCAGCAGGGCTGAATTTGAAATTAATTTTACTTTCTATATCTTTTAAAATCTTAATAATCGACTTAATCAATTTGTTACTGGAATACATTATAATAAATTAAATGACCTTACATACATATATGTATATATATATTTATTTTTATAACATATAAAATTTTTGTGTCACAGTGTTAGGCAGCTTTACCGATTTTATTGAAATTTTATATGCATATTCAGTAGGTCTCAGAATAACATGACACCTATTTTTCGTACCGGAAAAGTTTTAAATGCTTGAAATTTGATATATAGGTAGCCTTCTACCTAGTTTGGCAGGAATATTACTTGTGTTTTTAGGAGCGCTCTATTCAAAAAAATCGCTTCTCTGGTTTGGAATATTTTTTTAAATTTAATTGGCGCCTTTTGACCGCTGAAACTATTTTTCTTGATGTTTTTCTAACAAATAGATGTGTATGAGCTGTAGATACTAAGCCGCGCCCGAACGGTTGATAGTTTTTTTTACGTGGAGCTTTTATTTCACGTCCAAAGTATACCCGGAGAGGTGGACATTCCCTGCCGAAGGACGACCGCAATTAGGAAAATGTACTTAATTTTTTATTTAAATTACATTTTCATAACTTTTTGATGTTGATGACACCGGTATTTGAGCCCGAGCCTTCCGAATGTGAGTGCACAATGCTAACCACTCGGCTGTCGCGGCCGCCTATGGTTTGGATTAATATATAGAAACTTTCAGAAGTGAGATAAAGGTCGATTCTATAACCCGATAGATGGCATCATTCGTTTACTTAAGCGGAACCTTTGTTGGAAGGCGTGCAGTTAGCGTGCGCTGACCATTGTCATTTCAATGAATTATGCAGAATAGATATATTGTATCCAAGTGGAAGGAAAAATAAAACTCAAAGCGAGACATGTGGTTAATTTTTAGTCCATATGCGATCTCGCTCAATGAGAAACCCTTACGTTTCCTGAATTGATAACGGCGGGACCGTATTAAAACTCCACTTTATAAAGAAAATTTCTGGGACCTTTTCAGGCGAGGTAATCTTAGTTCTAACTCGATTCACTTGAATTTTAACTTGTTGGTAAGTTATCGTTTGATTAACATGCAAAAACCGGTTCTTAATAATCCTATTTATGGGTCAATTTATTTTAAGTTGTTTTCGTTCGGATGAGCTGCTGGAACTTTTCTTATCTGAAAAAGCTAATCAATTTCACTCAAATAATTCACATTCAGATTTGAACTATCTATATATGTTTTGTAATAACTCTTACAGTGCTATTCAGTAATCAGTATCAAGTATCAAATTGACACTTTAGAGACAAAAGTATGAATTTGATAATATTTGGAATTCACTAAGTAATATTGGGTCACTAAAGTCACAAAAAAGTATCAAACTTAAGGCCATAAAAATCAAATCGATTGAATATTATTTTTTATTATTTATTATAAATATAATTCCTATTATAATTAAAAAAAAAGTAATATACATTCTATGTCAACAAAATCAAGTGCTTACAGCATATCGTTTAACTCTAGTAGGGTAAATTGGTATTTATTCATGGCTATTAAATCCCATAATGCACTCAATATAGCTACATATTCCAGTGACTTTAGGCCCCATTTATCTGCGGTAACGCTCATTGCAAACTTCAGTATTTATACAAATCTGCCCAATTTGAGATCTGTGATTCCGACGACCTGAAATAAAAAGTATAAAACAATTGCTATTCAAATAAAATAAACATTGTATAAGTATTGTTAGTAGTAAGTGCGCCAAGCCGCTTGCCATTTGTACCTTGTATGAGCGAGACCCTAATAGAATGCCATCAGCCTCATCATAAAGACTTAAAATCTCCTAACGATTTTCCGTGCTACAATACTAGAACATTTGAGTAAAGTTTTAAATCTAATATACCATACAATCTTCTGTTTCGTTTAACACATCCAGCAAGTTGCTCCATCCCAAAAACCAGCCTCTTCGTCTTCTGGTCGCATTTGATTTGCTCTCTGGTACTTCTTTGTGCTCGATGAATGTCTAAAAAATGTATAAAATAATGATTAATGTAAATAAATGAAATATACACCAAATTACTTACTGATATATGAAGCCGCAAAAATTCGAAATTAAAGTCTTTACATATGTTTAGTATAATCAGTTGTTTTTGTTTAATGAATAGTTAGCCGCACTTAATGCCGTTGTTAGTGTAGTATAAGCCCGCCACGTAGAAACCAGCTCCAATAAAGGGCTTTGCAGCGCCTCGGACAGGGCATCTCTTTCTGTTGACGACCCCCGCAAAGGAATTAAGGATCACCATTTGAGGGCATGCGCATGGAATGTCCGGTCCCTTAATTGTGAAGATGCCGCTGCCTAGCTGGTTGATGTACTCGTAAGAATAAAGGCTGACATCATCTCTATCCAAGAAGTGCGGTGGACGGGACAAGGATGAAAGCAAGTAAGTTATTGTGGCATTTAATGCAGCGGTGTCGGATTTGTGGTGGGAGAAAGACTCCGTCGTCGAGTACTGGCATTCGCTCCGGTGGATGAGCGTCTCGCCAAAACCCGCACCTAAACGAAATTTTCCAACATATCGTGGATTTGCGACCACGCCCCGATGGAAGAGAAAGACGATTTAGCCCAAAATGCCTTTTATGAGCGCCTAGAGCATACCTACGAGCGCTGCCCACGACACGATGTGAAAATCATGCTAGGTGATTTTAATGCCAGGGTGGGCAAAGTAGGTATCTTTAGTACGACTGTTGTAAAATTCAGCCTTCAGAACGAAACATCCAATAATGGGTTGAGGCTGATCGACTTCGCCGGGGACCGAAATATGATTATCTGCAGTACTAGATTCCAGCACAAAAAATACATAGAACTACTTGGCTGTCCCCTGGTCGAAAAACAAAAAACCAGATCGATCATGTTGTGATAGACGGAAGACATGTCTTCAGTGTTCTTGACGTTCATACCTCCGAGGACCTAACATCGACTCACACCAAGATTCGCATGCGCCTCTGTGTATCGAAGGACGCCCGGCGACAAACAAAGTTAAAATCCGACGTACAGCTGCAAACGAAACTCTTGGATTTCATAAAGGACGCAAAAACAAATGGTACGATGAGGAGTACCGTGTCGCGATGAAGTGAAAACAAACTGCCTACTTTGCAACCTTGCGATCGACCACAACACGTGTGGGATGGAATAGAGACCGAGAGATGAAGAGGGCACGAAGTGAGGAAGCAAGACGCATTTGCCGACAAGAAAAGAAAGAGGCCGAGATGCTTACGAAGCTTGTGTGAGAAGCTGGCCGACAAGGGTAATGCTTGAAAATTCTATGAGAAGATATGACGACTTACGGAAGGCTTCAGGTCCGGAGCAGACTCTTGTGGGGTACAAAGAGGTGATCTATCAAACCGCCTTCCATAGCAGAATAGAAGCAGCCTTTCCGCCGCTATGTCTGAATTTGGTATCCCTGAAAAACTTATACGGCTGTGTAAGCTGACGCTAGACAACACCAGTAGTGCAGTCAGAATCCGGAAGGACCCCTCCGAGCCGTTCCGTGCCATGCGAGGACAGGAGGACTCTTTGTAGTGTGATTTTTTCAATTTTATGTTGGCGAGAATATTTAGAGCTGCAGAGCTGAATAGAGAAGGTACAATCTTCTATAAGGGTGTGCAACTACCGGCGTACGCCGATGATTTGGACATAATCGGCCTCAACAACAGCGCCGGTAGTTCTGTTTTCTCCAGGCTTGATTAACAAGCGAGGCGAATGAGTCTGGTAGGGAACGAGGACAAAACAAAATATCTCCTGTCATCACACAAACTGCCATCACATTCGCGAATCGGTTTCGGCTTCCACGTCATAATTTTGAAGTCGTAGATGCCAGCATCAACATCGATTATAATGTCAGCATTGAAATCCAGTGAAAATTAAAGTCTTCTTCCGACGAACGAAATCTCGACCAGTCCCTCATCGTTCCCGTCCTGCTATATGTTGTAGAAGCATGGAGTCGGAGTTAAGAGTTTTGGAGGTAAAGGTTTTGCAGAAGATTTATGGTTCGTTGCGCATTGTCAATGGCGAATATTGTATACGATGGAACGACTAGTTCATGTGGTCCGGATGAATGCCAGTAAATTAAGAAGGTATATACCCTTTCATATGTCTTTATTTTAATAAACTTATAAAATTTCTTGATAATTAGTTCGATGTTCTTTTTCCATACTTCATTCGAATATTGTGGTGAGTCCGTTCCGGCGCTCAACTGTTTCTCAAAGAAACATTTGGTCTTTCGCACCAGAATAACGAAATTTGCAATACATACTTTAGTAAAACAACAACAACCAGCACTGGACAACCGCCATTAACATAAAAGTTCTGAAACAGTTCCATAAAATACCCAAAAACAATTCAACAAAACAATGACCTGAAAAAGCATCAACAAACTACGGAAGAACCTTTGCCGGGTTATCACTCAGCCGGATGATGTGTCCCTCCCATAATTTCGATTGGAAAAGCGAAGAGAAAACGATAACACGAATGATTCTACTTTTCACAATTTGTTTTATTATTTAAAATTTCTACTTGAAGCGTTTTAACGTCACACTATATATCTTAAATCCCATCGTACTGGCGGCGTTTGCACGTCATACCCTATACTTCTATTGGCAGTGATTTCACGTCAGCCGTTTACTTCTATCTACTAATATTGGTAACGTTTGCACGACTCACCATATACTCTAGATACGACAGCACAAACAGAAGTGTTTTATCCTTTAATCTGCTTACAGAGAGACAGTTATGCGTTGCGGTTGGTGGTAGGCCTATCGCCTATTCTCCCTTGCCCTGCTTAACAGTGACGGCTCGCTATGCTAGTGTTTAATGATTGCTCAGTTGTTTGTAAGTATACATGTTTATGTGGAAACTGAATCCACTGGGTAGGCACACACCGAGTGCAACCGTGCCATCAATCCATGGCTTCAAATAATGCAACTATTTGCCGGCAGATGTCACTGCCAACGCTTGGAATGAAAGGAAGCTTAGGCAAAACAAAGGTAATGAACATAAAAACAAAAAAGAAGTTTTTGCTGCGGCCAGTACGCGACAACTTCACCGCTTCCTAAACCAAAAGAAAGAAGTCTTCCTTTTGGTCAGGGAACGGATATATCCTAGCGGATCCTATTAATCTCAAAATGGCCTCAACTCCTTAACGTTCCAAGTCCCTTTGTCTTTGCCTGATTCATCTGTCAGTGGGTATGTCCACGGTAACACTCTCTTCCCAACAATAAATGGCCCTACATACTTTGGGGCTCATTTTGCCGCGTAAAAATTCGCTGCATCCGACAGCATAAAATTTTTCCTCCAGACTAACTCTCCTGGCATGTACTGCACATCTCGCCGTCTGAGATTGTACTCCCTCGCAAGCTTCTCACTCGCTTGCTCTAACCTAGTTCTATTGTTTGCCCTAATCTCTTCGAGTCTTTTTGCTCGCTCCTGACAATTTCATTTCTCTAGGTCTCCTTATATATTAATATATATATTAATAGACTGGTAGTCTTGTGTCGACTACACTAAAGGCAAATCATTTCCTCTCTATCATACTCCAGCTGGCGAATACTCAGGTTTCACCTGTTGACAAGTTTTACACACCCTAACATATTTTGCTATGTCCAACTTCCTCATTGTAAAACGCGCGCAAAAGTCTTCTTCACGCCCATGTGGCCAGCCCACGGGCTGTCATGGCATTGTTTTAAAATTTCATTTCTACCATCGCGCTCTATTACTATTTTCCACTCTGGTGAATTACCGTACACAGATGCAAATCTCGACCTAATTAACTTGTAGAGGTTGCCACCTTCAACTCTCCAAGCTGGATACGACAGAGGCTTTTTCTCTACCAGCCGGATCATCCTTGCCAGCCAAGGATCGGCAGTTGACACCTCAGCAATAACTGGCACACTTCGGGATAGCATATCTGGAACCACATGTTCCTTGCCTTTCCGATACACTATATCAAAATCATATTGCTGCAGCTTCAAAGCCAATCTCGCTAACCTACCACACGGATCCCTCAACTTATTCAACCGAATAAGTGAATAATGGTCAGTGACAACCGTAAACTTAGCGCCCTGAACATATGGTCACAGTAGGGGCGACTACAGAACGACTAGAGACTCCTTTTCGGTCGTCGAATAGTTTCGCTGTTCTTTGTTCAATGATCTTCTCAAATATGCTATAACCCTCTCACCGTCATCAAACATTTGCGTAAACATCGCACCTATACCGAAATCAGAGGCGTCTGTCTGGACTGTGAAAGGCCTATGAAAAACAAGGCAACTCAAAACTGGAGCTGTCACAAAACGCTCTTTCGTTTCTTTCGGGAAAGCATATCTGGAACCCCATGCTCCTTGCCTCTCCGATGCACTTTATCAAAATAATATTGCTGGAGCTTCAAAGCCCATTTCGCCTACCTACCACATGGATCATTCAACTTATTCAACTCAAATAAGCTATAACCCCCTCACCGTCGTCAAACATATGCGTTAAAACCGCACCTACACCAAAAACAGACGTATCTGTCTGTACATCTCAAAACCGGAGCTGTCACAAACGCTCTTTCGTTTCCTTAAAACTCCTTTCACAATTTTCAGTCAAATTGAACTTTCGGTTCTTTTTCGTTAAATCGATGAGAGGCCTAACTAACTCTGCAAAATCTTTAATAAACCTGTGGAACCAGGACACTGTTCCTATAAATGACCACACTTGCCTTACGTTCTTCGGTACCTCAATCCGAAGCATCGCCTCTACCTTCTCGGGATCTACGGGTAGACCATTCTGGTCCACCACGTAGTCCAAACACTTCAGCTTAGACCTACAAAATTTAAATTTTTTTCCTATTTATTCTAAGCCCTTCTTTAGCTAATCTATTTAAAATTTCTTTCAAAATATCTAAATGTTTCTCAAAAGTTTTTGTGAAGATAATAATATCGTCCAAATACACAAGAACATGAGGTTCTAACTCTTATGACCGAATCTATAAATCTCTACCAAGTTGCCGGTGCATTATGTAGACCGTAGGAATATGTAATTCGTCTATTACTCCTTTATCCTTCATCTCCTCGCCCATACGCGACTGTATGACGGGAGACACAGGGTAATACCTCGGTTTTACAGGTTCAGCTCCTACTTATGCTCAACTAAATAGGTCCGGTGCCG